ACTATCTAGTGACAAAAAACCGCGGATACTTTTTAGATGACTCAATATTATATTATGTGCGTGATGTACAAAACCTATGTGTTTCAAAGAATTTTTTCACAGAATCCATTATTGTAATGATTCTGCGTCATAAAAAATGAATATTTAATAGAAAAATAATAATAAATAGTAATAAATGAATTATTTCTCATTATTTGCAATTCGTTTCTTTTGAAGATCACTCAAGGACACTTTGATGATCTTATTTGTTTTATTTAATCAATTTTGAAAAAGTTTTTAATTTTTTTTAGGAAGCATTTCATGCAATATTGATTAATACCTGAATAAAAGTTCAGCGCTCTCTAGTGGTCAAGAAAAGCAATTTGGACAAAAAATAAAATATACGTTACACTTAGTTTTGATTCCTCAATATGATCACCAAGCTTCATCAAGATCAATTCTTTACATCCAAAAACGTTCCCTTATTAATCCTTTTGTCTCCTTCATGTTTTTTTCGATTACAGGTAAAAATATAAGCAGAAAGTAAACGTTTCTTGCGGAAATCAAAAGCGAAAGACAAAGAAAGAGATGTGTACATACGTGATTCAGATGATGAAAAATTGTTATGTCTCGCAGAACAAAACTTTTCTGATTAAATCTATTAAAATTCTAGTTGAGATAATCGAAATTCTGATTGATTTCAGAATCTTCTGGTTTATTTATTTTCAACCAAACATTTTTTTCAGTGTAAATATAGTTATGATAATGCATGTCCTTCTGATATCATATGACTTCTGTGTTCTTCACTTATTCATTGTATTCATTTGAATTCTTTTTTTTTTCTTTTCTCCAAGCTCCTTCACGTACAAATGTATATGATCAAAGTCATCACGAAATGCTTACGTCTTACACTATGTCGTACACTATTAAAAAAACTCAAAGTGTAAAGGACTAAGTTTTAGGAATGCACTTTGAGGTGAACTCGAATCAATAAAAAAGAATAATCAAATATAACACATGAATAACTTCAACATAGTACAATGTACTCTAAAATTTAGTCGAAATCAAAGGTTAATTGATTTGTAGTTAAATGTATTAATATTAGAGATTCATTCAATTACAAGAAGGGTGATTTGAACTGCATATGCTATAATAATTCTGCATAGAAGATCAAATGAATCTAGAGAAAAGTACATTGAACTAATTAATTAATTAATTACGTATAAATTCAATGATGGAGCGGCACAATCATAAGCATATTTACAAAGTTGATTAAATCACGAGGGGTTGGCCACGAGGGTAATTTTTCTACAAGGGCTAGGTAATTCAGCGGCAATCCAACGAAATTTTAAGTAAACCAAGGTAATTTTTGGTAAGTCTATATAATCTTTAGCAGGTAATCTTGAGTAATCTAATAGGAAACCCTAACTAAAATCCTAATCTAAAGATAATATCAAATAATCTGTAGGTAATTCTAGGTATTCTTAAAATAATCTCAAATAATCTGAGGAATAAATCTAAAGTAATCTTCGATTTTTGAAGTTACTGAACGTCATAAACGAGCCTTTTATATCTTTTTACAATAATATATATTTTCAATCAATTTTTGACGTAAAAAAATTGAGTTTGTATGGCTTCTTTATAATCTAAGAATTGTTAACGTTAAGTTTTCGGGGTACCACATCTTATAATGCTTTCTCTTTCAGAGTACGAATACACAAGCGTTTAAAAATTACGAAATGCATCCTTATCTACAACTTTTGGTAAGCATCATTTAAAAAAAAATAATATAATTTACCAAGAAAGATGTTCTTTAATGATAATTGAATCGGCAAAAAATATGATCCTGACATGTATATAGGGTGTCCTAGAATAATCGTCAAATATTTCGTGTGCTGGTAGAGCACGGACTAAACTGAATCAAAAAGTTCTGTACCATTTTGCAATTTTCGCAATAGTTAAACAAGATATAAATTACTAAAAATCATCGAATATTGATTTTCAATAATTGTTTTACTTAAGTACTATCAACTTTACAGAAAAACAACAAGTGACAAAAATTGTTTATTTTCTTTTTATAGATTCTGAAAATTTATTCAGAATTTTTAGTATCGCATTTTCTCATATTGGTAAAAATATTGGGTCATTTAAAAAGTATCCGCGGTTTTTTCATTCAAAAATTGAACAAAAACCGCGGATACTTTTTAAATGACCTAATAGTTGCCAATATATATATATAAAAATACAATGCTAAAAAGTTGATCAAAATTCTGAAAAAATTCTCTCTATAAGAAAAAATTAAACAATTTTTATCTCTTGAATACTCTGTATAATATAGGGACGCTCCTGAGCCAAAGCGTCACGTACATGGCAAAGCCAACGAATCAAGAGCGGTAATGGGGGGACAGTAGGCGTCGCCCACAGGAATTAGCTCAAAATGTACATCTAGTGCCGAGCACTGTTTTAACAGATCGATCAAATAAATCTTAGCAAAATTTTTAATTTAACACTAACAATAAGTTGTGATATTGTTTGACAAAGAGTCTGTGTTATTATTGATGTTTTTTAAAAATATTTTTTATTTTATAAAATACTTATTATATATTTATATTCAATTGAATATTGTTTTGTTAGTTGTATTGTTGTATTGTTATTAAAAAATCTCAAATGTTACGAATAGTCAAAACTTGTTACTATCTCTACAGGTTGTTCGGAAATTCAACCAACTGCACTCGTGGACAGGTAGAGTGGCTAAACTGAATCGAAAAGTCTTTTACCATTTTGCAATTTTAGCAATAGTTAACAAGATATTAAAAATTGCCGAATATTGAATAGAATTCTTAGAATTTTTTCAGAATTTTTTATCAACTTTTTAGTACTGCATTTTCTTATTGGCAACTAACTCTTTTACTAACATGAGAAAATAAGAAATTCTGAAAAAATTCTATAAAAAAATCCCAGAACTTTATGAGAAGAAAATAAACAATTTTTGTCTATTACAGTTTTTCTGTAAAGTTGACAGTATTTGAGAAAAAAATTATTGAAAACCAATATTCAGCAATTTTTAGTAATTAATATTTTGTTAACTATTGCAAAAATTACAAAATAGTAGAGAACTTTTCGACTCAGTTTAATCCGCTCTACCTGCCTCGAATATGGTCGATTGAATTTCCGAACACCCTGTATACATATAATATGTATTCTGTTTGTAAAATTTTTATATTTTTGTGTTCCTGCAATAAATATTTGTTTTGTAAAATTGCATTTTTTTTCTTTAGCAGTGGAAATCTAAAATCGATATTCTCGAAGATACTTATCATAGTGATATTCTAGAGTGATCTGAAGAAATAATACTATATGTACTTGATATAAGATAATCTTAGATGAGCAAAGTAAATTTCGAAAAATCTCGGGTAATCTTAGAAAATATGACATTTTAAATACTCTAAGATAATCTTGGATAATGTGAGGTAGTATTTGATAATCTGAAATAATTAGGTAATCTTAAGTAATACGAGGTCATTTAAAGGTAATCTGAATCAAGGGTAATTTTTGTACACTACAACCACTCGTGACCAACTCCCCCCTCCCTAATCATTATTGATAATAAATGAAAATAAATGTAACGTAAAAGTAACCGATATAAAAGTAACAGGAACTTAATAAGTTATTGATTGAACATTTTAGTTTAGAACGAGAGAGTGTTTTGCATAGCTATCAACAGATGACGCGTGTATTCGTAAGAGAGATTCAACATCATCTGTATAAAGCGGAAATGTTTAAATCATTTAAATCATTTTTATGCACTTCTACATCATGGCGATAATCATTTTTTTCAGGGAGACTACTAATTAATCAATTCGATGTCGATTCGACGTCGAAATCATCAAATCGACTCGACATCGATTTCATTATTATTTCTCACTGGATAATAGTTTAGTTAATTTAACCCTTACAAAAAAAAACCGAACTAGGCAGTGGCGGTCCGAAATAACACTCAAATTAAGTGTTAATCTTCAAGATGAAAGTTTATTTGGAAGTTAACATTTAATTTAAGTGACGGCCGCTAACGCCTTCGGTGTATTTTTTCGTAAGGGAATAAATATTTTAGAAAACTAAATTCAATGTTTATTAGATACAAAATAAATATTAAAGGTTAAAATATTTCTTGACACAATCCGACAGTTATGTCATATTTAACGCTCTAAGATTGAGTTGGTTTACTTCAATTCGAGTTGATTTAACTAATCATTTTTATACATTTTTATCGTGTGTCATTTTTTACGTGTTTTATTTATACGTGTAATGAAACACGTTCCTCGTAAAAGGGCATGTCGTGCAGTAAATATATAATCGGATACTCTTTTTGTAGACTAATGCAACGCCCCTCCATGCCTTTTGGTACAATCTGTAAAGAATTAGTTATGGTTCCAACTCGATTTGATATCTGACTTGCGAGGATATAAAGTAGGAAAAAGTCGCTAGAATAAAAGCAGATTTTCTCGTAATACAATCGAGAAGACCTCGCGTCTTATTTCGCGTCACTATGAGACAGTCATTCACTGTCAGCGAAATACAAATCTCTTCGTCTTCTTTCTTCCGCATCGACCGCAGGGAATTACTGTACGTCCGATAATTTAAACGTAGTGTCTGTTATTAAAAACACCACCGAGAATCGATACCAATGACCCGGAGCGAGAATCAGTTCGCGAGAACTCGCGTGTCCCCTCTGTATCTCGAGAAAAATCTCAAGGTTGACTCCGTGGATGCTCCTTCATTTTACGATCACAATGCGCGGCGCCGCAAAAGCGTTTCCTGCTCCACGATCAATAAAACCATCTCCCATACCCTTTGCAGAACGCAAACGCAAAGTACACACGAGGACACAAGAGAGTTGCAGTGTGCACTATATACTACTGTATGAGCCACGTATGTGTGCTGCGACAAAGTCCACGAGAAACACGCTTCGTCATAGAGAAATACACCATCACCACTACTACTGCTACTACTACTACTACTACTACTACTACTACTACTACTACTACTACTACTACTACTACTACTACTACTACTACTACTACTACTACTACTACTACTACTACTACTACTACTACTACTACTACTACTACTACTACTACTACTACTACTACTACTACTACTACTACTACTACTACTACTACTACTGCTACTACTACTATTACTATCACTCTCCAGAAAAAGGATGAAAATTAAGTCGAAGTTAATTTCTCGCAACTCTCCTCCGGTCTCTCTCGTGACAAATCGACTGATTTCTTTTTTTCTTTCTTTTACAATACATAAAAATGAGACAGAAAAAACGCTGGAAAAAATAGACATTTGCGATGCAGAAAAAAAGAAAAACAAAGAAAGAGGAGGAGAGAGAGAAAATACAAGGGGAAAAGTATATTTGTCATTCTGCAAGGGAGGATCTGTAAATGAAGTAACAAGAGTCGCGTAAAGTGTTAGCAGATATATCGACGTAAAGTTGAGAGAAAAGTAAACGAATGGACTAGTTGGAGCACTAATCGAGTAACGAATTATTAATGCCCTGCTTGAAGTTATGGAATGTTTTGTAGAAGCAAGATATTCCGCGTAAGTATCTGATTCACGGACACGCGAATCAACACGAATAAAACCGTATTACATTAATAGGAAGACGACACTTTTCCGATCCCTGAAGACCTTCACCCCCGGGCGTATTCCATCCGCAGAAACGCTTCGTGACGTAACTAACTCCCCAGTGTTCTAATTACGCGCTTTCGCATCGCGTTCACCATATATCCATTAACACCCATTTTATTCAAAGTCTACTATTTCTCGATTTCGCTTCTTCCTGTTGCAATTCCGCAATCCTCTCGAAAGAAAGAGATATTGAAAAAAAGAAAAAGAGAGAAAGAGAGAAAGTGTGAAAGAGACTGATTGATTGATTGATTGAGCGTTTATTGCAGTTCTAGGCAGTTCGAGCTCTCTAACCAGTACAATAAGGAGATTATAACTTTAACAACGATATCGAGATAAGCAATGATTGAATAATAATATTACGTACGACAATAGAGATAAAGATGAAAATGAAAAATACAAAAAAATAAAAAATAAAAATAAACGTAATAGTAAAAGTGAGTAAAGTAAGGATAAGTAAGCAGAATTTAGGGCTTATAGATGATAATAGCTTAAAGCATAGAGTTAATTGTATGAAGAGCAAATGTAGGCAAAACAATATTGAAACTTAAACGCGAATTAGGATGATATTCTAGCGTTCCCCGCGACGCTGCAAATGAGAAGAGGGCGTGCTTGAAAGAAGAGAGAGGCCCTGATCCTACTAGGAAGAGGATTCTATATTAAGAAAGCGGCATGAATAAATGAACGTTGGTAAGATGATGGGAATGGTAAGATCAAGAGAAAAGACACGAGAAGTGGCTCGAGGTCTCGAACAGAAATTCAGTTTATCGGCCAGGTAGTTCCAAGAGACTTAAGGATTGAATATAGAAAACAGCCAAATTGATATTCTCTTCTATCATCTGCAGTCAATCAATCCAGTAAGCCATAATAGTATGATATATAGTCTTTATGTAGACTGAATATAAAACATACGCATGCATCAAACACTTAATCCTGAATCTCTGCTGATCTATCAGATCTATGAAGACTGCTGAACAGTAATCGAAGAGAGGGAGAGAGAGAGAGAGAGAGAGAGAGAGAGAGAGAGAGAGAGAGATAGAAATAAATAGATAATATATACCACATTATTTATTAAATGCTCCAAAATGAGGATCCTCTCAAGATAGATCGTTAAGATATACAGATTTACAACATAATTGTTCCTTACAGAAGCAATAAAATTAACAAAATATGGAGTATACAAAACAAAGATTTAAAAAAATAAAAAAGAAAGAATTCAACACAAATGAGCAAAGAAGGTTATTATTCAAAACTTTCAGTTGAAACGATTATTTGTCGGACTTGAAACACAGTCCTAATTAAAGCTGGAGTACATAATGTCACAAATTGACAAGTAATATTTAATGATGATGCTAATGAACATCTTAAAGAATTTACTATGTTTTAAAAATGTTTACCGTAAAGGTATAGATAATTGTTCGCAGTGCGAGTTCGTTGCATCACACATCTCGATATGAACGGCCCACAGGCTTACCATTTCGCGAAATTATCGCGATACCTATTCACACCGTTATTGTCGTCGTCGTCTGGCGCATCGCCAAACGCGGAGCTTGGTTCTCGCGGTGAAACATGTCGACACCGAATTTATAATGCAAACATATGTGCGCACGAGACGTGACAATGACAGCGATCGACAGCGGCACGATTATTCTTTCTCGTTTTGTTTCGTTTACATCCATTACACAAAACGCGCAATTGTGATTCATGGCCAGCAAATCTTGCCAAAATGGATTACGCTTTCCGCGAATATGACACAGGCGATTTTCGAATATGACGCAAGTTCGTAGAATGCAATCTGATACATAGTTGCGACTTTCTTGTCGGAGACTCCACTATTTTACCGGAGATCGATTGCGTATCAAAATTGTATCTTGTAGTGCATTCTTTAAAAAAAGAGTTATCAAGATTTATACAATGCAGGATGTCTAGTAAATTTTAACAAAGAACTCATATGTAGGCAGAGTGGACTAAATTGAATAAAAAGTCCTCTATTGTTTTACAATTTTCGCTATTTTTTTTAATTACTCAATGAGCAAAATATTTAAAATCGACGCGTAAAACGATTTATATAGGATATCTTTAAAAAATTCTTAAAAAAATCTTTAAAATATTTCATAAAGAACTCAAAAAAATATTTTAAAATTGCCTTATGCGTCGAATTTATCCGTCTTATTCGACAATAATAGAAATTAATATCTCGTTAACTATTGCGAAAATTGCTAAATGGTAGAGTTTTCGAGTCAGTTTAATCCGCTCCATCTACATATAAGCGTTTTATCAAAACTTACGGGACACTTTATACAATTTTGATAGGCAATCGATCTCCGGCAAGATAATAGTGAAATCTCTGGCAGGAAGAGGGTGAGTTTTTTAATTTAACATAAGTCTACACATTTTCATCGGACAATTGATAACATGGCGTCTCCGATGAATGAATTTATAGTCTACTTTGAAGAACGGTTTGATGAAAATAATGACAAAACTGAATTCAATTTAATGTGTCAATTTACAATAAATGCCATAAATTAATTTTTAAACTAAAACTTTAAACAATAATTAATAAGATGCCTCATATTTTATATATTTTTATATATTATTCACATATTACATATTTTCTGCTATTATAATCACTCTACTATACAAATTTCAATTGAAATTCTATAATTTCTAAAAATTTAGATAATCGAAAATGTGCTTTAAAATCTATATTTGAATATAAAGGCACTATTCTTGAAAAGAAATTATCAATTTTTATGTGCTTAACACGTTTACGTTTAATTAATAATAATTAATAATAAATTCATATCACTATCACTGTTGTTGGTAATTGAAGATGAAGAATTAGAAAAGGAATCAGAAAAAGAGATTTATCTTCGAACATTTTTTTTATTAAATTATAATATTGTATGCGTGCGTGCGTGCGTGCGTGCGTGCGTGCGAGCGTGCGTGCGTGCGTGCGTGCGTGTGTGTGTGTGTGTGTGTGTGTATGTGTGTGTGTGTATTTTTCCACATATAGTGCCCATAAAATACAAGATTAATCAATAATCGTAATTAATATTTCAAATTAAAAAATATATCTCTACTTATGTTCTATCAGAAATTTCATCAATTTCATTAGTCCATCGATTAAATTAGTCGATGGATCTGATGGATATGCGATAATTTCAACGCTGTAAATAAAAATACATTAATTTAACCGATGAATAAAAGAAACTCTTTGATGCATTTGCGCTTCATGCGATTGATATCAATCGATGAATTAAAAACTCACCCAAAGATAGCAACCACAGTATAAGGATATACAGTAGGGACAAGACACCGTTTTCCATTCAGCCGCGCATATTTGCTTGCGCATCATAAGCGGCCATGTTTTTGATGGTACCAATCCCAATCAAAGCAGAGAATCCATAGCTTCTCCGTTATTGCAATCGCGCCATGGCATATCGCTGCGCTTGTCATAGCGACGAGACATTGCCGTGTTTCCTGAATAGTCGATTACAGCAATTAATTTTATGCAATGTGACTGTGCGTGGATGTACCTGACTAATCACTAATTTGGTGGAAGATTCTCAAAAGTTACGACTTTCTATCTCATTTTTTTTTTGGTATGTTCAAGCGGTAGTTCAAATATTATTGATATTATTGATAGTATTTGGTCATCAAAAACATAGCGGACCCTAAAAACTCGTTTGAAAAAGATCGAAGGTGCCGACGCTGCTTGTCCCTACTGTATATCCTTATACTGTGTATAGCAACCGATATACATATATATATATATATATATAATATATATATATAAAATATATATATAATATATACACATTGAGTATGATCCGATATATTGTATTGTTGGCTGTATTCCAAACAGTTTCAAATTTACTGCCAGCGCTGAAAATTTTCAGTTTATGTGCATTACAGATTTTCTATACCGACAGTCAATTTTGGAACATAGCCATTGTCTCACGATCCCGTGAGATGAGATGTATTTTTTAACGCGACAGTACCTATTTCGCAGTCATCGACCGATCCGTGTTTACGTTTGCACAAAGAAAGTGCCAGAGCATCGTGTGCTTGGAAAAAGAAGCTTTCAACCCGAAATTATTTTTCTTAGCTATTAAAAAACAGACTATCTGGCTAGAAGACCTAGGGAATAGAAATAACTCATTACTTGTAACAGTTACAGTTCGAATTATTTTTATGATAACTTTACTGGTAACTGCGTTACTTTTTTTTGCTAATTGTAACGGTAATGTAGTTATATAATATTTTTTAATGATAACGAATTTTACAGTTACTTTTATCGTTACTTTGCATATGATTGGACACGGTTCAATTGGACACAAGCCACTCATAGCTCTTAAGACTAAACAGCCTCTGGGCTGTCACTCGTCCGCTGTGATTGATGATCGTCGATTTTAAAAAAGTAACGAAAAAATAACGAAAAGTTAGGGTGCGTTCCGTAGCACACATTAAGTGCATAGATCACATATTCAATGTGTTGCGTACTTTAAGTGCATCCAGAAGCACAACTGCTCACTGAGCGCTTAATTAGCAGTGCTTCTGGATACATCCATTAATATCATTCCGATAATGCACATGATAATGCGTGTATTTTGCATTGGAAACGGAACGGCTTACCATGCGTTTGAAAAAAAAATGGATGCTATCTTGGATAACAATAAGATATTTACTATTGAGGTTATTACGAGATTGTATATATTTTAATAGATACTTTGAGTCGCTGTCACAGCAGTTTCTCGGTTGACAAAAAGGGTGAGAACTTTGTTATTTCAATGATGATTGGAAATTCGATTAAATAACTTTCCATTATTATTACACTGTAAATCCGAGCAAAAGGTGGCAAAAGGCTTTTGAATTTTTTTTCGCATCAACTTCGCATCAACTTCGCATTAAACTTGACGTTCGAGCTGCTGTAGCTGATGCACGAGAAGTGGAGAGAATTTAAGAAAATTTGTACGCTATCAGTATTCATTGATGCGTGCATTGATTGAAACGAAACGGTTCTCTATGTAGTCTATGCGTATTATGCGTGCAACGGAGCGCACCCTTACTTTCTCAAGCAACGAGTTACTTTTAACTCGTAACTCGTAACTGTAACCTGTTACTTTTAAAAAGTAATTCTCCATTTCCTAAAAAAATCCTCTTTCCTCTAACGCGAAAAAGAAAAGTGTTATCCTCGATAACGATACGAAATAAACGTCCGTGACCGAGATTTGCAGCAAGAACGTGCAATGAATTTGAGTATACGATTATGAATGTATAGACAAAACAGACAACCGCTGATTGAGCGCTTAGTGAGCTCTTGCATCTGATTGGCATATTCCATTAGAACTAAAAATATAGACTAGATTCAAAAGCTCACTGAGCGTTCAGTAAGCGGTCATAGTACTAAATAGGTGCAGCCAGAAGCACGATCGCTTCAATCGTATGAAATTGGCCAATCATAGTTGAATATGAGAAAAATAATCAACTACGATTTGTTAATTTCTTATAATTTACTTCCAACCCTATTGTAGAACAGGCATAAGTCGCGTAAAGTCGGTCAGATCGTTTCTGATGTGTCGCACAGGTAACCTGTTGCCAGACGCGAGCACATCTACATGTAAACAACGCCGGGCGAAACGGTATGTGACCGTTCGCGCGCGATCGATAACGAACCTATGCGAGCCGCTTCTGTTGCTGTTGCTACTGTTGCTATTGCTCGAAATGCTCGGCCGGGCTGGCTTGGCGGGCTCGAACGGCGCTAAATGACGATATCGACGATTAGAGATCTGCTGGACGGGCGCAAATTTGCGCAAATTTGCGCGGATGAGCATCCTTGGATGATAAACGAACGGGAGATATTGGGGTCGTGGATGGAAGGAAAGGAGGAGATTCCATCGCAAAAGGAAGTTACGTATCGTTGAAGATACAACTCAAAATACCGCGGCTGTGGAGGCACCGCATGTGTACCTAAACTATCCTGCCCGTTCGCGATCTACGTCCGTCTCTCGGAAACAGAATTTCGCGATGGTGATGACGCGAAAGCTTGGCCGCCACGTACAATTTGGACTGCGCGCGCGAGTCTTCTATGTTTTCGAACAAGACCGCGCACCCGTGTACCCTCAGCAGCATTACGTCGAAATGCGCAAAGTACACATGCTATTTTCTCCGTCTTGTCAGTCGTGAAGGAAAGACGAGTCTGTCCTAATCTCTCCTCGCGTGCACGTTTGTGTGCGCTGCGTGTTTCGAACGGAACCGAATAACAAAAATAAATAAAGGAAAAAAAGAGACTTCACAGAGAGCTAATTGCGGATGACAAACAAATGGTTTGCTTCGCTCTTGCGAGCCGAGCGAAAACAATGAAAAGCAGTTACCTGTACTGTCGATGAGCTTCAGCTCTTTTCCGCGAAGAGAACGGGTGAGTCTGTTTGCGCACCAATAACACCTCACGCCATAAACTTCCCTCTTCGATGACGAAGCGGCCCTCCCCCTAAATTTAGAAAATCGCCACCGATCGCTGCAGGCTGCTCGCCTCGTCTCTTCTCTTCTCTCCTCTCCTTCCTCTTCCTTGCCTCACGAGAAGATCTCACAGAAATCGTTACATTCTCTATCTACTGGAAACTGCGCTCTTCCCTTAACGTTGCCAGATCAACGGCGGCGGCGGCGACGGCGATGGATCGGTCACAGCAGCTAGTTAGCTACCGCTACCCTCTTGTTTCTTCCTTTCCTTTCTTTGCGTTTCTCCCTTCCTCAAGATATGAATTTTCACACGCGCACCCGCCTTTCCGCCGTAAAAGACTGTGGACGAGTAAAAGCTGGTAAAGGCTGGTAAAGGCTGCTTCTATGTTGTACTAAATACGAACGTGCGCGAGCTAGAGGACACGCCTCTACGAGGCATGGCGCAGACTCGGTCTCACGTTCTGCAGAATGGCGAGTAACGACGAGCTCGATGGAGCTTGTCGGAAGTGGTTGGAATTGGAAGCAGTCGGAAGCAGTCGGAAGCCAACGGAAACCCGTAGGGGTCTTTAACTCCGGGGAAAATACTCGATAGTCTCGATACGCGCAAGTCAAGTCATTCTTGGTAGCGGCACTGGCGGCGGTGGTTTAGTCATCGTAAAGCGCAAGATCGCGAATATTCATAACGAAGAAAAACTTGTAGTTCTGAATGATCGATCGTAAGATCTTTCTTTATAAAATCACAACAATAAAACGATGATAGGTGATCTATTCAGAAATGTATCAACCGGATACGGCTGTTTCGCGACAATTTGAACAACATTCGAGCGGAAGATGAGCGTAAAGATGGCAACTTTTCAATATTAGACTTCCTTCACAGAATCTGGCCATAACAAGGAATAAGATAAAAGGAATCCGACATTTCTTTTCAAAATTGTACGAGTGAGAAAAAATATGTTGTATATCGCTCTGCAGTGATGAAACGGAGAAGATATATTCAAAGATATGTGCTATCTCGCTTTAGCTACAAAACGAATTTGATGAAAAATGTCGGACCAATCATAGGTTGCTCTTTGATGACCAGACTGATTAGAGAATCTCTAGTCATTACAGTACATGATTTAAAAAAAGCAGTGTTCTTTATTATAGAGAAAATTATCCCAGTAATTAATCGACAATAAAATCAATTTATTGCCTATATGTTTCATCCTTATATAATAAATCTTCATTTTAGCTTCAATAAATTGAAAATAGGAAGCGATATATGTTGAATATACACGTATCACAGTTGAGTATCATATTTCAGTTCAGAAATGCAATGGTAATATAAAATAAATTTGTCAGAATCAGGCACTAGTGCACTTCTTGAAGGCAAAAGTAGCTAAAAAGCGCTGTAGATAACATAATTATTGTACTCTGCATGCGTATTTCGCTTTTTAACAGTAAACTTGTGTATCGTTTAATCAATGTCATAAGGCACTCTATCTCGTCATCGCCATGGCTTCCGTACGGCTCCCGTGCTCGTGCTTCTCCTGATACCTCGATCTGTAATTCAAAAATATATTCAAGTACATCTATTAAGGAAAATTAAGTGTATGACGAAAGCGGATGTAAAAAGCTTACACAATGCATTTGGTGACATAAGTCTGTCTCTGATATCCGAAGTCCACGTTTGACATCTGGACCTAACTAAATTCCTTTTAACGGTCGATGGTTGCTGGTATTTGGCCATTCTAAACAATAAGGAAGATATAATCTTAATAATGACAAGTGCAATATTGATCGATATGTGTGATAACACAAAGCAAAAAAGTAAAGACTTTATTCAGACAAAGCGGATCTTGGTTTCTTTAATAATATTTTTGTACTCATAATCTTAATAGTTAAACAATACAAAGCAGACGGAATTCTACAATATGTAACTACGAGAAAAAGGAATTCGTTTCAAATTTGTGTTTTAAATTTTCCACTGCTCGTGACATTTTGAACATTTTAATTGTTAACTATCTTTTGACTTATTTTCCGAACTTCTTTTTTCCTTCCTTTTTTTTATTTTTTTATTTTACATATACAGTTGGAAACATTTTGTATCTATTAAAACCGATTATTAAAATCTTGTTAAAATTTTTTATTTTTTAATATATCTGAATGCTAATTTAACGTATAATGTAATTGCGTTATTTGAATATTTTAGATTAAATTGATATTCAACATCTCTAATGACTTCTGCACACTGAACGCGGAAACACTTGCTGCATAGGAAAATGCGACGCGATAACCAATAATATTAGGGACTGTAAGCTTATTAACTACCGCGTCACATTTTCCGCATCCAGTGTGCAGGAGACATTAGTATTAAAATAACATAATTATGAGTAAATGGACAAATAATATAAAAATTGTGTATTTTAAAACGTGAAAAATTTCTAAAATAAATGAATAAAATGTGTTAGGGCTTCTGAATACTCACTCCAGTCATATTGAATCGTAACGTCATAAGCGAGAAATACATCATAAGCGACACGTTGATTTTGCTTGCAAGTCATTTATAAACAAAGAGAATTTGCTGAAATGAAATGAGATCACTTTAAAACACTTGTAAAAATGGACGAAAACTATCCTTAAAAACTATCCTGAAAATAGACTACACATGCGCATTAAGTAAAAACTAAACACTTTACGTGCCTTTTTTGATTCTTTACTGACTATCAAGGAAGATAAGGAGTCTTTGTCCATTTTTACAAGTGTTTTAAAGCGATCTCATCATGGTATGCAAGAAAAATCAATGTATCACTTATGGCGTCACGATTCAATATGACTGACGTGACTACTCAGGAGCCTTAATTTTATATATTATAAATGTTAATTTTACTGAAAAAATATGCTTGCACAATTTACTTACAAATTGTGTTACATTTATTATATTAATTTTTTATACATATTTGTGTTACTTCTTAACAACATATTCATTTTATGTTAAATTAACATATAAATTTATGGCGAATTCGATTGGACACTAGTGCGCACTGGTGCATATTAAAGCCGTTGTACACTGATTTCATTTGAATATAAAAATGAAATGCAAATATTTCGAATGAAATATATATTTTATTTAATAGTACAATAAAATGTATTGAGTATTTCATGATTTAATCGATTTCTATGTTTATTTATAAACATATCTTTACATTATTTTGTATATGACTGTTTTAATGTACCAGTGCGCACTGAGTGCGTCCAATCGAATTCGCTATTAAATTGGTCATTTAGGACACAAAAAATATGTTAAATTTAATACAAATTTTGTTATTGCGTACTTATTTAACAGAATTTTTGTGCCGTCACAATTTTTGTGTTGTACTCCAGAGATCAGTCAACCGACTGTATATGTAATAGTCTTCTTGATGCTTCCATGGGTGCTTTCTATATAACTAATCTGTGCTTCGCGGGTTTTCTCCATGTCTTGGTCCATTCTTGATGGGCCAACGTTCGTGGGCCTTGCAGTCCACTTCATCAGGGCGAGGAGCAGCCTGATACTGAGCTTTTATCCGTAAACCTACGGATAAAAGAACACCAACGAGACGTCAGACTGAAACACGTCACACAGTCGTGACACTATCAGAACATAACGTCGAAACAGGACATCAAATACTGTTTGACCACGATAACCAACACCACATCATACTTCCCAAGAAAATACAGAGAAGCCATAGAAATACAAAAACACCCTATCAATATAAACAGGGATAATGGCTATAACATAAGTAAGATATGGAAGACTATCCTCCCGACCAGCAAAGACCGACCAAGATTCCACTATCTGTCTCCCCCATCACTCTAACCTCCCCCCCTCCACCACCAAAAAACTCCCACCTCAACAAGTAGCGTAACATAAAAAGGAAGGACCTGGAGGAACAGCTCAGTATCAGGCTGCTCCTCGCCCTGATGAAGTGGACTGCAAGGCCCACGAAACGTTGGCACATCAAGAATGGACCAAGACATGGAGAAAACCCGCGAAGCACAGATTAGTTGTATATGTAATAGTATTAATTCAAATTATAAAATCCAAGATCAATCATGTCATGTACTTTGGAGAGCGTGAAGCTATTTTTAAACATATATATAATGCTGAAGATGGCTCAAAATTGAGTCCAAACATACGTATCTTAAATAAATTTCATTCATTAATTTATTTTACGCACCGAGATCCGCGTCTGACTAATCAGTCCCTCTATCAATTTTTTTTTTTTTTTTGAAAATAAAACTACGTTATTACGTGGATTCGAATTCCTTCAGGTTCTTTCTGGCTAAAGTCTTCTGAGTAGCAAACGAGTATGATCGAGCCGAAGTCGGGCGTTCCGTTCGAGACTCCTTAATTTCGCGATCATGCGCGATTATTTTCATTCTCTTCGTCGGAGACTGGGCGAATAATTCCACTATATTCATGGAAGCTGCGTCGCACTTGAAAACATTAAATCGTTAAATTATTGCATGCTCTTGACTAAAAGTCTGTAAATATAAGCAAATAGGCAGTTAAGTATAGTATAAATGTTACATTAATTGTGCTGTTACTAATAAAATAAATAGCATATTGCCGCAATTCTTACAGCATCGAATATACTGGGAACATTCATGTCGTATAAAATAACATCTACTTGTATAAGCAGGATATTGCTGTATTTTTTTACAGCATTAGAATAACTCACGTATGTTAGAAACATTCACATCATAGAAGATGCATCTTTGGATATTTATGCAATTATTTTCAATGTTCAAATTTCGTCACTATGCAGACAATATGCAAAATTTATCTACCTGGGAATTTTATAAGCAAAAAAAACGAGTATTACTTGCAACTGAAGACGATGAAGGAATTCCACTTCTGCCAAGTTTAAGGGCGCGTCAACGTGTAACTTAAGCATACATTGCAACGCCTCCTTATATATCTTTTTCAATGTAATAACGCGTTCGGTACGCATTAATCTGCGTATTAAGTAACCACGTGTGTAAGCATTGATGGTATTCACTGCCTGTACCTATACAGTAATATAATTTTAGTATCTTTTTTTAACAACGGAAATGTTATGATCATAATGTTAAAATTGCAATTTGTACTCACATGTTTATCGAAATACACTATGGTGTCTAGTACTGGTATATGCGTAGTATTACTATCTAAGGGAAATAATTGTCGACTCACATTGGAATTCTTACGTACAAGATCGCGCGACTCGCAACGGCTGTTATCGTCATTACCGTTGTTATTGTTATTATTATTATTATTATTATTGGTGTTATTATTATTATTATTATTATGCATAGTATCATATAAACTCACTTTTCTCGTAAAGTCAAAATCGAGAGTCGCCGAAGAATCGTCCGCAAAAAAGGATTGATATTTAAGCAGGTGTAAATTTTTCGAGGAAATGTAATCCAACGGACATACAATCATTCGATTCGCTGATGGTAATTTAATATTATAATCCATTTCAGTGTGTATATTACTCGGAGAGTCTGTATCCATTTGTTGCCTTGCCTCGTGACTAGTTGGTTTTGCTTCGTCACTCGACAATGATCGATTCAACGCAACGTTCAATGCATTTGTTTGATGTGAAATTCCGGAGGCACACTTTTGTATTTCTGCTAACAGAAGTATTTGTTGCTTCTGAAATTCTGCTTGTAGTAGTGATTGTTCTTTTCGCTGACGATATATTAGCTCCATCATCTGCTTCTTGTGCATTTCTTCGATCTCTTTATAAACCATCAAGAGTTTATTTGGTGTGGAAGACTTTGTTTTATTGGCTGAATCGTGATATTCTACAATATTCTCTTTTTTATTATGCAATCCCTCATCTATATAAGACAACTGAATTTTAGGACTATTTGTATCTTCTGTATACTTGCTGCTCAACAAATTTAACACACCAATGTCACTATTTTTCTCTAATTTTTCTAGAGAACTTTGCTTCTTAAAATCTGTATTATACCTATGATTATGTTTAATTGGTATGGCATCGGATTTACTTGTATCTTCCTCAACGATTACCATTTTAGTACAATTAGTAGATTTATTTGCTTGATGTGATTCTGTCGAATCATCAGATTCTCTATACTGGGAAGTTGATTGTTTGGGTGTACATTCTAATTTGCTTAAATCTTGAATGTGTTCTACCATAAACTGTTTATTTTCCCATTCTGCCTTAGGCTGCGCAATGTTCCATTGTTTTAGTTGTGACACATTAGTGGTAGGTGTAGGAATGTACTTTTCGTCAGTTAATTTTGTATGCATATGAGCAAGCAATATAGGACTGGGTGTATCCAGTATATAAGAACCTTGACGTGACAACTTGGGTAGATTTTCAGGAGTCTCTTTGGAAATTTCTATGGAAGAAGTATCTTCCTCAACTTTACTTAATGTTATCGGAAGTACGTTCAGTGTTTTAGGTATCTCTGGCTTCCAATTCTCTAGTAATGTTACATCTTCGTCTGGTGTTGCCGTTTCTATTGCATCGACACTATTTCGATCAGTTACAGCAGCTGTAAGTTTTGAATCATTAATATCATTTGCTAAACAAACTTGAAGTTGCAAATGCTGTACATCTGATATAGAAGACTGAATATCATGACTATCTTTGGTTTCGCCTTCAACTTGCAACAATGGTTCAACAATAGTCATTTTGGAATACGAGTCCTTATTATTGGTATCACTTGCAATGTCACGAGTGGATATGTCACTGTCTGAACTGTATCTTATATTCTTTAACATATCTATCGGTTCTAATATAACAGCTTGCATGCATTTATCTTGAATGGTGTGTTTAACGAGTCGTCTGTCCCTCAAGTTTTCCTCGATTTTGATTGCCAGTGATTTATAATGTCTCATTTCTTCTTTGATGGTGTCAGTCATCTGAAAACAATATTAACATAATACTAACGTAAAAGCAATACTCCACGACTAAGATTACTTTGGTAGCTGCATTGGTTAATGAATATTCACCATTGGTGGAAGAAGAGGTATCCCATTTATTTTCATACAAGAGATATAAAATTGTTTCTGCATGTTTAGGTGCAATTTAGAGAATACACTTTACTGTCTCTCTCGTAATTCATTAACGTTCCTGAAAGAAAATGAAGTAATTAGGTAATTATTTAGAATACGAGTCCTCCTCTAAGATCTTAATAAAAATGTACTCATTCAATACATTTCCACAAAATGAAAAAAATCTTCCACAAAATCAAAAAACGCTGCGATCGACTTCGTGACTCGAGTTATTAAGCATTACCCCGGATTTACAATAGAGTTCTAAGCCTTAAACCATAAGAAATGGACGAATCATAATCGATTATTCTTCTCGAATTCGATTGTAATTGGTCAGTTCTTACGACTTAAGGCTTAAATCATTTATTATGGCCATTCTACAATAAGCCATTAGTCGTAAATCAGAAATTAGAAGTTGGAAATTGATTGTGATTGGTCAATTTCTTATAACTCCTAATTTCTGATTTACGATTAATGGCTTATTGTAGAATGCGTGTTACAGGCTTTCTATAAGCTATTACTTAAGTTTTAAGTCTTAAGTCATAAAAAATTAACCAATCAAAGAAGAATAGTAAAAAAGAATAATCGATTATGATTGGTCAATTTCTTATAACTTAAGATTTAAAGCTTAGGCAATGACTTATTGTAGAAAGCCCGTTATTAAAGTTCAAGACTTTAGAGGTTAAGATATCTGTCATCCCGACTCGATACAACTCTATGTATATATTCTGCTTTAATTACACAAATTCACTGTTTTAAGCACAGAAATTCTTTGCACAGAAATTAATAGCGAATTTGTGTTTTTAAAGCAGTGAACTTGTGTTTGTAAAGGCTAATTCTACAATGTGCTCTTTGTTTCTTGCTGTTTGTCTCTGTTTGTCTCTTGACTTTTTAATCAATAAGACAAGAGACAAACAGCAAGAAACAGAAAACAAAAAGCATATTGTAGAATAACCATAAAGTAGTGAATTTGTGTTTTTAAAGCAGTAAATTTGTACAATATAATTAAAGAACATATATATGGATGATCGAGCTATATCGTGGTTGTGTTCTGATAGCTGTCAAAAATATTCTTTTTACAAGGTTGGTAGTGCTGTAACTAGTTGTGTTCCGTAAGAGATCAGCTACATCGTAATTTCCATTTGTTAGGCAGGGGGTCGATTGTACAATATATTGTATCTTTGTCGACTTTCCTTGCCTCTTGTACTTTCATCTCACATGAAAAAATACGCGCGATTGGTTATAAACATAGTGAAAATGTGATATCTCTAGGCTCACTGGAGTGAAAATTACAAATGCGAGTGCGGTTGAATGTTTAGCATAACTTTAATTGTAGAAAATGATAGAAAGTTTCAAATTCTATCCCATTCTATCGCAATCACTATATTATCCAAAATTATATTGTATTTTTCAAAAGTGGGCTAGAATTATCCAAGAGCTAACGTTTCATCAATGAAAACTGAGAATGAATGTTACGGAAAAGCAGAAGAAAATATTGATATAATTTATAGAACAGCACCTTGACTTTGATCGTGGTCGTTTAAAATATAACAAGAAAAATAAACGAAAAATTGTATTATGATTATTAATTATTTTTTACAAGTATGTTTCTATAAATAATATTCTTATAAGTTTTGTTTTTATATATATCATTTGAATTCAATATTTAAATATTTTAAAATTATTTTTAGGATGTGAACGTTGGAAAAAATTATCTTCTTTAAACATCATAGATCATGCAAATTAGCAAAAGAATAGGCTAAGTTAATTTTTATTTCATTATATATATATGGGTGACGAAATATATTAAAATTACCCTGTATATATATAAAATTGCCAAATATTGATCTTGAATAATTTTTTACTCAAATACTATCAACTTTATAGAAAAGCTGCAAGAAACAAAAATCATTTATTTTCTTATAAAATTCTGAGAATTTTTCAGAATTTTTTAGTACCGTATTTTCTCATGTTAATAAAAATAAGAAAATGCAGTACTAAAAAGTTGATAAAAAATTCTGAAAAAATTTTTAGAGTTCTATGAGAAGAAAATAAATGATTTTTGTTTGTTGCAGTGTTTCTATAAAGTTGATAGTATTTGAGTAAAAAATTATATTTGGCCAAGACCAATATTTGGCAATTTTTAGTAATTAATATCTCATTAACTATTGCGTAAACTATTAGAATAGTTCGCACATCTCTAATGCTTTGACTTAAATAAAGAGTTGTAAATAAAATATAGAATGTGCCAAAAAAAGGAAAAAAAATTCGAAAAACTAAAAAATTTCGTGATCTAGATTTTATAAAATGGTGTGTAAATCTGCAATATAAAAGTAGAGATGTGCAAATTATTCGAATCAAAAATTCGAACAGTTTGTACACCTCTACTTTTGAGTTGACCTTTAAGCTGTGTAATTGTGTGAAATTATTATTTATTGCTTATCATCATATTTTTTACAGACATGGAGAGACTGGAAAAAAAAAGGTTGCAAAGCAGAGATTTACATGAGAATAGGTGGCGGATCACCAAAAGATTTGCAGTTATCTGAAACAGAGAATGTCTTTTAAAAGATATTTCGAAAGGTGGATTTACAGATATGACTCCAAGTTATGATAAAACTTCGAATTCATTTGCTTTATCTAATATTGAAGGAAAAGAAGATGAAGTATTTTCACGTGATGCTTGGAACGATAAAATGATGGCATCACATGAAATGCATTCTCCTGTTCAACAAAATAAGCAGAATATGCAATTATGTATGCCATTAAATAATAACATACATTCAATTAAAAATAATAAAAATGAGATGTCTTACAAATTTTATTTAATTATCATCATTTTAATTAGTTTAAAAATATAAATTAATAAATTTATTATTTCTTTTTAATTAATAAGTTTCAATAAATAAAACACATTCATAACAATACAATAAAATAAATAATTCTTTAAAACAGAAAAAGTGCTCTATTCAATAAAATATTAAAGGAAATAAATGTGAAACAATTGTTTCATCACAATATGAGTGTATATCAAATTAAAAATAAGGAAAATTAGGTATGCATATAAGATTTATTTATTTAGGCACACATTATAATGTATTACTTTTTATAAATAGATTAATATAGATTTAACTTTATTATATTTTACTTTACTATTTATAGGAACAAGATAAAGCAGTATATGCATTATCTTTAGATGAGATAATACAGAAGATTATATTGCAAATCATTTAAAAGATATACATCATTCAAATGTATACAAAGTTTTTTAATAAAATGTATTAATATTCATTAAAATGAAAAATAGACTCCTGCTATTCTAACAAATTGCTCGAAAACGTTAAAGAAACAGTAGTCAGTGCGGAAAACAGTGCGCAAAATGTTAATATAATAGTAAATTACTTTGAATTAGTTTGTCGACATCAAAACTGTCGAAATCAAATACAAAATTCTCTGATATAATACATCAGAAAATTTTGTATTTCATTTCGACAGTTGTAATATTGATAAATTAAAATAATTTACTATTAACAGTAAATAGTACTGTTAACAATAATATAACAATTATACATTGTTCGTTGTTTTCCACGCCGACGTCCCTTTAACATTTTCAATTAATATCATTAACTTCTTTTAATATTATAACTTTAATTAACTTTCTTTTATATTATTTAGGCGTAAAAAAATCACGGCTTATGGACATAGCCATTAATTTATTAGAAAAGAAGTCAAACAACGGACAAGAAGTCGGACAACGTCCGAGAATATGAAATAGAAAATTTTAGAATTGAAACAGGAAAAAATAAAATTTAAAAAAAAATTAATTGTTCTTAAAGAAATTCTACAGCAACTACAGAATACGAATGACTTCATATCAACTATGACGGAAGAATTAATAGAACAATACCTGATAACAGATCTTGAATAAACAAAGACATGTATTATGCAAAGTTACCAAAGATATATGTATTCTGTAATATATTAGGTGTTGGAATTAATTCGTAGCGTTTTTAAATGAAAGAATGTTATTTATTTCACATGAGCATTAAAAAATACATTAATGAAAGTACTTCCCATCACTTGTAAAACGCTACGAATTAATTCCAACACCTAATAGTATTGTCATATAATATTGTTTCTTTATATACATTATAAATTTTTTAATTATTAATATAATCAATTCATGTTTGTTTGGTTTTTTTTTCTAATGCAAAAATGTAAAGTTCAACATATTAAGTATCTATAATATTTTGGCCAAAGCTATATATATTAGGTGTAGTAAAAAGAAATCCATTATTTTTCCAATAGATAGCTTTAGTAATCTAAATCTCGTCTACGCGTAATACAGATTACTAAAGCCATCTATTGAAAAAATAATGGATTTCTTTTTACTACACCTAATACATATGTATGTATAATTCATGTAGCATATGTTTAAACTTACGATGATACTACAAATTATAACTTTACTTTTTGTGAACAATATTAGCAAAATGATTTTATTTTATACAGAATATAAGAAACATATAATTAATAAAAAAATTAACTTTAAATTAGTGATAACTCTGTAAATTGTTGCTTGTTTGCATACAACAATAAAGCCATTAGCAAAATTTAATATTACTCTTCGTAATATTATATTGTTCCACAAAAATGTATCACTTTATACGATTAGATCTTATTTGAGCATTTCGCTGTACACACGCTATTTAATCCCTCCATGCGATATTTAAATTATAGGCTGTTTGAGAACATAACGCACAAATCTTAATAATGGACTCTAAATAAAGATAATAAATTCTTCCGTATCCATTCATTAATGTTTATCCATTTGTACAATAATCATTACAAGTCGCAACAATACACTTCGAATGTCATAACATATATCTTTCCTATCAAGCATTATGATTTATAATTAATATAACGAGACGATGTTATAACGAGTGCTTACATTATCATTATGTATTTCTTGCTGTCGCTAAATGCATAATAGATATGGAAAAAAAAATTATACGAAGAGTTAAAATTTACATTTTAATGAAGGAAAATAGGATATATATTCTCGTTTTTTGTATCACTTGTTAATTTGGATAATAATAAAAAAGAAAAGACTATATTTAAGCCTTACAACTTATCTCTTCAGCAACAATAAAAATAATCTCTATCATTTTTATATCGTTATCGCTTAAACTCAATTCTGACAAATTTTTCTAATTTTCCGTGATTCTTAATATTCTTTTGTGTGTCCATAAAGACACAGGATTCTCCTTATGAGAATCTTTTTAGCATGAATACTTCATTTAGTCTCTTGTAAATACGTTAAAAAATATAATCTTGCACAATTGTGTAGCTTGAGACATTCGCATCTAGAACATAAAATTTTTGTAATGTTTAAGATATGAAATGTTAATTTAACATAATGTGATTATGATATTTGAATATTTTGTATTAAATTAATTAATTAATATATTTTTTTGTAATTTTTAATATTCAAATAAAATAATATAAAATTTTTTATTTTGTAGTATTAAAATAACATAATTTATAAATAAATAAACAAGTAATATAAAATAAGTTTTAAAATGTAAATTCTAAGATAAAAATATACAAGTTAACTTTTAATATCTTTAAAAACAAATTTCTAGTCATTTATCAATTATTGACGTACATAAGAATCTTTATTTCAGAAGTTAATTGAACTTTTAACATTTTATGTACTAGTTATGAAAATATTAAAAAATGAAGGGAAACGCAACATACGTTGTCTATTTAAAATACCATTGAACAACATTTCATATTTGTTCAGCGTTATTTACGTCAATGTCATCATATTGTATTGGTATTTGTTCATCTATCTCATTTAAATAAATTTCATTTTCTGGAATTCTCCATTTTATAGCAATATTGTGTAGAACGCAACATGCATTTACAATATGAGCTAGAAAAGAAAAAAGTATTATAATAAATACTAAAGAACATTACATTTTTTTAATAAGGTTTTTTTATGTTATATATAAAAATTATATTTAATACCTGCGAATTCCGACTGATAATGTAATGTCCTCTCTTTTCGCAAACATCATCATCAGTCTTTCAAAATACCTATACCTCTTTCTGCAGAAGATCGCGCTTTTGTAAAATGTTCTGTGTATCTAAACTCTGGAAAGCCTATGGTGCGTTTATGAATGATAAGGCATAAACGGATAGGTGGAATCTCCTAAAAAGAATATTAAAACATACATTATAAGAATCAATTGGCTCAAATGACCAAATGCTTGCAAAGTTGTTGTGTCATGTTGTTATCAATCATTTTAAAATACCGAGATTTATATAATATTTGAAATATTACGAAAGTTAAAATTACGAATGTTGGCGATTAATATACAGAAACATAATATAACATTAATATAGTATGAACAACATATCTAATCAGTCATATCTATAAACCACGATCTTCTTTCACCTATTGTCTTCCTAAATAATGGAACAAACGCGAAGAACGAAAGACTCTGGCGTCATGAGTTCTTCCACTACGCATTGCATTTACTGCTATTATTTCGTTATTATAGGAACAAATCTATAAAGAGAATAGAAAAACATTATACGAATACAAATTATGCACTATTAAAATTGTATCTCTTACAGCACTGATTATTTTTATACTTACAATCATCACTCAATGATATTGTTTCCTATTAATAAAAAGATGTTCTCATTCAGATTGTGGTGGAAAGATCACAATGTGAGTTCTGTCTATAGCGCTAATCACTCCTCCAGTTTCAAAAAATCTGATATAAAGAATCAAATTAGTAATTTGTAAAAATTTTTATCGAACTTTACATATATTATCTTACACATATTATGTACCTACTCTTGTTTAATTTGTTGTTTCTATCTGTTGGAAATTGAATCTAATGTTCCATAATATTATTTAATATTACAGTAGCATGAATAGAAACAGAGATGGAAGTTTGACTCATGCATGATAGAAAATTTTACTTTATTTTTATAGGAACCAGATGCTAAGAAAGTGTTGCAAATATCTATAATAAAAACATAACAATTAAAAACACAAATAAAAAAGAGAAAAGAAAATTCAAAGAAAAAGTAATAATTTACTTATAAATAATTTACTTATAAATAATTTACTTATAAATGTATTGAGGAATTACTGTTTTTCTTTGTGGAACTGGCATAAAATTTTTTAATTCTTCAATTAAATGTACAAATGCTATTATACTTTAGATAATCTGAAACATATAAATGTTGCATAATATTAAGTACAACTTTGTTTCCGCCTGCTTCCGAAATTCGAGGCTTTATTGTAAAAAACTGATTATACATTTCCCGCATCGAAAAAACTGATCATCTTTTGAGGTGATCCACGAATCGATCCAATTTTTTACTTCTTCATAAGACCGGAAATGCTGGTCAGCCAGGTCGTATGCCATTGATCGAAACAAATGATAGTCAGAGGGAGCAACGTGTGGAGAATATGGCAGGTGGGGTAGGACTTCCCATTTCAACGTTTCCAAGTATGTCTTGACCACTTTCGCAACATGGGGTCGAGTATTGTCATGCTGTAAAATCACTTTATCGTGTCTCTCGTTATATTGCAGCCATTTGTCTTTCAATGCTCAACTCAAACGCATCAATTGCGTTCGATACTGATCGCCTGTGATTGTTTCAGTCGGTTTTAACAGCTCATAATACACTACGCCGAGCTGGTCCCATCAAATACAGAGCATGACCTTGGAGCCGTGAATATTCACGGCTATTCATTTGGTTTGGCCGTCGACGTGGAAGCATGGCCGGGAACTCCCCATGATTTTCTGTGCTTAGGGTTATCGTAATGAACTCATTTTTCGTCCCCAGTCACAATGCGATGCAGAAATGCCTTCCGTCTTTGCCTTTCAAGCAGCTGTTCACAAGCAAACAAACGCTGTTCAACATCTCTCGGCTTCAACTCGTACGGCACTCAATTTCCTTGCTTCTGAATCATGACTTTGAGGCATTTTGAAATGGCTTGTTGAGTCACTCCCAATGATCGTGCCAATTCTTCTTGATTTTGACACGAGTCTTGATCAAGTAATGCCTCCAATTCTGCATCTTCGAAAACCTTCTCTCTTCCACCGCTATAACGGTCTTCGACGTCAAAATCACCATTCTTGAACCATTGAAACCACTCACGACACGTTCTTTCACTAATAGCGGCCTCACCATAAGTATTTGAGAACATTCGATGAGCCTCAGTCGCAGATTTCTTCATATTGAAGCAGAAAATTAAAACCTCCTGCAAATGACGAGAATTTGGCTCGTAAACTGATATTTTCAATCGAGAATAACTTTATGATGCAGATACAAATCGACTAATATTTCTATGGGATTATGTTGCCCAAGTTTATTGTATGATGTCTATGATCTATTTATTTCGATCACCACTTATCGCTAGCAATTTATAGGAAAACGGCGGAAACAAAGTTGTACACCTAATATACATATTTTTTATAGAATACATAATAATAACATTATTATAAATATAACAAATTTTTATGAACAAATTTTACATATAATATGTTGAATAAGATCCTACTCATCATGATAAAAATAAGTTATTAAGAACAGGAATAATTATTAAATATGAAAGAAATAAAAGAGGTTAAATGTAATGCACAATGAATACAAATAAGATATATTTATATTCCTTGCATCTTATTCATATTCATTGCAAATATGTATAGCCTAATTGTAATCTAAAACAAAATATAATTTTCTTTTACATACCTATATAATTTGAGATGTTGATGAATGTTATCCGGAATATCAAATGGATCTCTTAAATTTCTCCTTATTATATTGTTTTTTCGATGTCTATTTTTATCTCTCTCTTCTTCTTCCATCAGTAATAATATAGCAATAAAGTCTATTATTTATGACATTTATTATGACATTGTGTCGTACTTGCAGAAATTTGCATCGTATTGGTTATAATGTCAATTAACATAAATTTTAGGTTAATCGATGTATACTCCACCAGTATTGCCACCATTGGAAAAGACTTTGTACCAATTGACTGGCAAAAAATGTACCAGATAGACTAAAAATGTAGCAGATCAAGCAAAAATTTTTTTTAAGGAGAGAAAACAATAAAAAAGATTAATGCTTGTTCCTTTTTAATAGAAAATGACAATAAACTTTATTTCAGCTGTTTAACAAAAACTGTTTTAACAAATATGCATGTTATATCATATACATCATGTATTGGGTCATCTAAAAAGTATCCGCGGTACTTTGTCACTAGATATATAACCATCAACACACATCTAGTGACAAAAAACCGTGGATACTTTTTAGATGAACCAATAACTTCAATATAAACTCAAATTAACTTAAAAACATTTCTTTTCGATAACAAAATTAACACTTATAATGTTATTCGTTATATAAACATTATATTACATAACATGTAATGATCAAAGTATGATTAACATTTCCATCTTTTCTGCAATAATATTTGACGGACTCCATGTATAACAGTTTTCATCAGCCATTAGTTGCTTGGACAATATTATAGAACTGCATATTTCTACATCCAATTTATTTCGTAACTTTATTTTAATTAAACTTAATTGAGAAAAATTTCTCTCGGTACACACAGATGTATATAGCAAATATTGGGTCATCTAAAAAGTATCCGCGGTTTTTTGTCACTAGATGTGTTGACCATCAACACCATCTAGTGACAAAAAACCGCGGATACTTTTTAGATGACCCAATATTTGCCCCTTTGATTAATTTTTTTAAATTAAGGAACATTTCTTCATTTAATTCATTTTTCATTTGAAATATTTCCAACCAAAATTGAACAAATGAAACATTTTCAAATTTTGTAAAAAGTTCCACATTTGCATCCACATTTACATATAAATTTCTTCTAATTTTACATAATAATTAGGATTTGTTGGAAATATTTTTGACAAGTTAAATTTATCAATAATTGTTTCCTTAATAAAATTTCTTAACACATTTTTATGCAAAGTACTAAATTTGGTATGCAATATATGAAGTATCGAGTGCCTTCTCCTTGAAAGATAAGATTCATTTTATTTATAATGTCTAATATGTATGACAGAAATAGAAAATATATTGGGTCATCTAAAAAGTATCCGCGGTACTTTGTCACTAGATATATGACCATCAACACACATCTAGTGACAAAAAACCGCGGATACTTTTTAGATGACCCAATACAATACTTTAAAACAGGATTATTTAAATTATCAAGTATTGCACTTGTTAGATGTAGTTTATCTTCTTTAAATGCAGCATTGGTAAAATACAATTTAAGAGAGTAACAAAAGTACTTTATCAACGACAGCCTATTAAAAATAAAAAAATATTATAACAATAGCATTAATTTTCATTTCCACTAAAATGTTAAACTGTTAAATCTACTTTATGATATAAGGAATTTCTAAATATAATATTTTTAATTAAGAAATGTTTTATCAATTTATCAAATTATCAATAAAAACTATTAATAATACTGAATAAGGTATACCTTACTAAAATTATTAATACTAAATAAGTTATATCTTACTAAAATTTCAATAAACTTACTTGCAATGATAATCATCTAGTTTGAAAGGGTCGCAGCATTTTAACTCTAAAAATTTTTGGTATTCTAAATCATTCCTTCATTTTGGGTTATTAGTAAAATTATACAAATTCCTTACAAATTTTTCCATGGATTTTAGTAACTTTGTTGTAGCTTTCGATGAACACATGCAACGAGTGACATACACAGCCTAGTAAATATTTCATTTTTGTAATTTTGTCTAAACACTTGATTTCTGTCCCATCATAACAGCCGTATTATCACAAATCTAAATGTTTTCAAGCGGTATCTTATTCTTTTTAAGTAATTCGAAAACTGAATTAAAGAGTGTTTCAGTATTAGCCAAGTGTGTGAACTGGTACAAGACTAAAAAACATATCTCTAACTTTATTTTTATAAAAGAAGCATATAACTACTGCTAAACACTTTTTTGAAACATCTGTTGTTTCATCAATAATTATAAAAATAACATTTTTCTTCTAAAATGTCTTTTTGCAAAACTTCTAATTGTTCTTTGGCTAAACATTCATTTGTTATAGCTGTGGCTTTTGTTCTGCTACAATTTATATTTTTGGCAATATTTGAATCTGGCCGTATTGAACGCAATAATTTTATATAATACAGGGTGCGTCATCAAAATCCGGACAAATCGAACAATTCCTTGTCGTGGCAACCTCAGAGAGCCTCTTTAATATGTACGATTTGTACACATCGAAGGTCCTCCTCAGCAATTCGACGCATTGTTGGCTCGCTTACACCAATAATCGATGCTAATTTTCGAAACGATTGCCTTGGGTCATCCGAAATCAGCGTTTGAGCCCTTTCAGCGCCTGCAGGGATCCTCGCGATGCTTTCTTTCGAGTGTCTCTTCCTCGCTGGCATCCTGGAACCTTCGTTGGACTGTTCTGAAGCCGTATATTTTGCCACAACATCATAAACAGTGGATCTCAGGTATCCAAAGAACCGAATTATTTCCGTTGCTGAGCGCCCGGCGTGAAGGTCTTCGATGATCGCGGCTCTTCGATTATACTCTCCACTTGGTTTCAACATCGCGGCCATTTTGAGAATATGACTGTTTACTAGAAGCATCAGGCTTTCTTGGACGCCAATAACAATCTCTGGCGCAGTATAGCGGAAAATTTGAATTGAAATTTGTCCGGATTTTGGTGACACACCCTGTATAAATGTTCCATTAACAAAAATGGCAGATTATGCTCATGTAAAAACATAATTAATTTTAATTCACCGCTAAAAATTTTTTTTTCATGCATAGGTTTTTTATTTCTACCAAATTTTTCTATTTTGATAGATTGTTTACGATAAGATAATTATCTGTATATTTACTAGATTAGAGCTCATGCCGTTTTTATATGAATCAAACTACCAATAATTTTTATTACATATTGTACAAAAAGCTTAGTCTTTATTTTTTTTTAACCAAGAAAATTGTATTATCCAGTCATTGTTAAATTTATGCAGATAATTTTTTTTTCTAATAATGGAATTATTTTCTTTGTCGGCTATATTATCAGAAGATAACATGAAATGGTATAATAGCATATTTACATAAGGTAAAGAAATAAAATAAAAATACATATCTTTTTATTCTAATTTATTAAATAATGAAGAAATTAATCTTTCCATATTATATCGTTAGATATATATTTTTTAATCGTAACACTATGCACTTTTTCTTATAAATATTTAAGTTGTTTGCTGTTGGCTTATCAGTTTAGTTATCTGATTTAAAAATAGCAAATGAATACATAATAATCTTCATAAATTGAAAACTCGCGTGAATTCTTGAAAGATCAGATTAGTATTTCTATCCACTAAGGGCCATTCCACACAATTTGCATAGCCGCATAAAGAAAATCATCCAATCGTATTTTATGTTTGTCTTTATGACAGAAATGTGATTGGATAATTTTCTTTATGCATATGATTATGCAGCTATGCAAGTTGTGTGGAATGGCCCTAAATGCGGAAACGTTGTACAACAAGATGCAATGTTATAGCCAATGAACGTAGTATTACAAGCTATTAATTATCGCGTCAACTAGTAAGTAAAATAGAGTAAGTAAAATATAGTGATATTTTTCTGTGAGTGACTGTTTTTGCATTTAGATAAAAAATTATTAAATTATTTTTTTAATAATGTATCAAAAATTGTACCAGATATTGAAACTGTACCAAATTTACTGCATTTTCTGCCTTTGATTGTAAACACATGGACTACTAGTCTCTCGTTTTTGCTATAGGAAATACATACTCTCAATGTCGCCGAACTGAAATTAGCTGAAGATTATTAGGTTTCGCCTCGAATAATAAAGACCGGCAAGTTCAAATGTGAAAGTTGCTATATTTTTTATAGTAAGTACTGTTACTGACCATTCTTCTTCTTCTTCTGTTTTTCCCTTATTTGGTTTTCCGACTCAAGTACAGAATCACAATATCATGCAAATTAATGGATTTTAAAATACATAATAAAAACTAACGTGATTTATAAATCAAAACTTATGAAAACCACAGCACAAGGTGTTATTTGTGATATTTAATTATCATTACATTAATAAAACATTAAACGTTTCGGCCACAATCTGGCCATCTTCAGTAAATTCACAATATTCTTAAAATGCAAAATTACAAATATTTGAAATAATGACACACAATGTCACGACAAATTTCCATCTGTGTAAAGGATGTACTTAAGATTCATCAAAAAGTTTTTTTGCTGTAAAACAGAATCTGAAAATTCTTGTTCTACATAATTCGAAATATGACAATTGGCGCTGCAACATTGTTGTACGATGCACCTTCACATGATGAAAGAACACGTTTAGATATAGTTATTTTACATGACGATTGAATGTAATGTCAGATATTTGTCATTTTGCGTTTTAAGAATATTGTGAATTTACTGAAGATGGTCGGATTATAGCCGAAACGTCTAATGTAATGATAATTTAATAATGTAATGATAATTAAATATCACAAATACCTTGTAGTTTTTATGCTCTTCTTTTCATAAGTTTGGAAAAAATCTTTTGAATAATCTCCTCAGGGAGCAGAGACTCCGATTTTTATTGACCGTTGCATATCGTAAACGTGCATACATTGGGTCATCTAAAAACCGCGGATACTTTTTAGATGACCCAATATTAACTATAGTCAAAATTCCCCACTCCCGCAAAAAATTATTGTCCGGGGCGGAATCTAATCTTCCAGCCTGGGGACACGTCTGAAATTGGCTACTGGTCCATATGTATTTATATATAGTTTTCTGCAATGTAATATCAGGGTACCAACATAGTTAGAAATATATCAAATCTGGTACAATTGTACCAAAGGTGGCAGCATTGTATATACTGTAACCAATATGATGGAAAATTTCCGCAAATTCGACACGATTCGGTACAATTTGACTGAATTCAACATTTAAATTCTT